AATTCCATATTTGTTGATATATATATTTTAAAGTGAATTTTAAAAAGCCGTGGCGGTCTAATGTTTTGACTTACCACCTCTCCAGCAGAGGCCGTAGGTTCAAATCCGTGCTCGCCATCTCTGGAGTTTTTTACCGATCTCAAAAAAAGGAGGAGAGGGTCTCAATTTTGTGTATGTATCTATGTTACGCGGTAACTCCGGCGGCGCTTATGAATCGATTTTGATTTTTTTTTTGTTGGAAAGACCTTGGTATTGGTCCCAATTAAATTTGAAGAAAATATTCCCCCTCTGAGGGTGGTAAACTAGGGGATGAATCCTGTTTCGCGCACTTTCGGGTAACCGATTTCAATAAAATTGAGCAAATAGATGTAATTCCCCGAACTTTAGAAAGCCAGTTTGATTACTACTCTGTACTGAGATTATTCGGAATTAATCTCAATTAAATTTCAATCATGAGCTTTCCGGTGAAGGAAAATATCGTGAAAAAACCTGGACATCGAAGAAGGTCCTTAACCCTCGTTAACGTGTGTGAAGTTCCCAACCCGCGTTGGGTCAGCGTGGCGGGAGACCCGTGCCCACCAGTGGGACATATAAATGGGCTAATAATAATACATGTGTATTTATTTAGGTGATAATGTTCGAAAAACAACGGTAAATCGGATATTTTTTATATTATTTATTACCTTCTAACTTTCCAACATAACCCTAAGGTATTCCGGTAACTTTATATCCCTAAAGTAACCTCTGTAATCCAACACGATCCCGCAATTGTATAGTTTTCTCAAGTAACAACATATCCAATAATATTCGTCAGTTATAAGTCAATCATTCTAAATCTAATCTATCAAAATGTGACACGGGTTTCCATGGAACGTGACACGAAAAGGCTTTCAAGACTTTTGTAGTTCGCTGGAGTAGAAAATTCTTTTATGAAAACTCTGCTGGTAAACTGATATTTTTGAAAGGAAGTGATATTATTTTTAATGCATTGCAAGTTCAAGTATGTATTCACAAGCTGAAAATATTATATCTTTTACAGATTGTTTGCGACAATAATTTTCGTTGGTAGATCATAACGTAGATTTCATATCTGTAGTGCTCCAACCTATAAACATCTCAGTGGCAAAGGTCGTCTCAAATAAAAAGGGTTTAGGCATTGATAGTACACTTTACATATATACAGGGTGGACAAAATCAATGGGGCATGAAGGGGAACTACCTTAAATGAATAGGATAGCTAATTTTACTTTAAGGAAACATTCAATATGAATAACTAACTACTAACATTTATAATTTTTTTAGAAAGCTTACCTGAGCAGGAATCGAAGCAATTAAAAATGCAAAAATCTCTATTTTATTGTGCTAATCGGTAGGGTCAGTGATAAAGATAAAATCTCTCCAATAAACACTGAGTCTCATTAATATATAAATATCCCAGTACAAGAAGCGTGTTACATGGTGTACTCAAAATCTATATTATTTATAAATTTTGTAAATTACAAATGCGTACAAATGTTTATTTAGAAAATCCCTAGAGTTATTTACTCAATTTTCTCAGGAGATTCTGTCTTAAGAATGAGTAGTGGAATTTAATCAAAGTGACGATTTCAAGTGAAATTTGCTTACATATGAAATAAAGGTTGTTTGAGTTTGAGTTTTAAATAAAGTACACCAAAATGTCTAATTATTTGAAGTTAAAATTAAACTTGTTTCGGCGTAAGAGATAAAATGTATCATTTTACGAAACCACAGACAAACAGATAGACAGTCAAAGTCTTTAAACTTATAACTCCCTTCTTTTTGTGTCGGGGGTTTTAACCTAGCACTTTCAAAATAAACTGAATTGTTCCGCACACTGTATTATTTTATGATATCAAGTGGCTGGACGAACAAATGCACCTGATGGTAAGCTACACGCCTGTCCATAACAGTTGCAGTGCCACACGTGAGCTTTAGGTTTCAAAGATCTGACGGGCAGTGCCACTGCACTCGTTACCCTGAGACATAAATTGCCAAATCCCATGTGCCTAATTTGAGAGAAGGAAGTTTGTATGGAGAAACAATCATTTCTCAAGTAAATAGGCTACTCGAAAAACTCATTCTGCGCAGACGAGAAATTAGTCAAACTCTTTACAGTAAATTAGTGAATTATTTATTAATACAATTTCAATTAATCACCAATTATTATTATATCAAACACGTAGAGTGATTACTCAACAAGCCACGTTTTGACGAGGAATATGAATGACTTCCTTGATGGTGCACTTCGCACGTTATCCAGCAGCTACCCGGCTGTACACCGGCGGTGCCATTACGTCCACTAGTTTGTGTAATAAGTAGATTGTGGAGCTTTCATGCTACAGCGTGACGTTACTTACGAGTGTGCGTGAAACTCGTTAATAAAGGGTGTTACTGAACCTTTATCAAACCCATATATGTCACACTGTTAGACACGAGTTTCCTCTAATAAAGGGGTGTATAATGTACATCAATTATTACGTTTGAAGTAAATTTATTGTTTAATTATTATTTATTAGTTTTTTTTGGGGAATATAATTTATGAATTGAATAATTTATATCTTTTACTTTATTTTTATGGTAACACATGCCGCAGGGTGCTTAAAATGCCAGCAAATCGATTCTTTGTATAATTTTGCTCATACGTTGGCCAGCTACATCATTTTATGAAAAGGTAATGGGACTCCATTGACCTGGCCGAATCCAAAAACATTGATTTTTTCTCTTTTGTGCCTGCAGAAAAATATTTTATATTTATATACATCTCACAAAGCCCAAAAGACAACGACGACATTACGGTCGGTATTAGGAGTACCCCAGGGGAGTGTTTTGGGACCGGATCTGATAATGTAGTACCACTTTAGTAAAAGTAAAAAAGAGATGACAGTAATTGCAAAAAAACGACCATTATGAATTTATTACCAGTACTAAGAACAAAGCAGATTAAGAAAGTAAAATAGATGCACGCTAGGCCAAAATTTCAATCTCAAGTGACGATATGACGCTTATTCACTCCAACATTTAGTTTCATATTCCGTGTGTTTCTTGGCTTACATAACCGTGCGTAACAAATCACTAGCAGTCATCTACAGGTCACGTTGTTCAGCACACATATGAAGGTTGTTATATTCACCGCCAAAGGTTTTCATTCACATTTCCTTATACGAGGAACACGTAACATAAACAAAGTGATCTTTTCCACTGTAAAAGCCTTCTCGTGTTCGCTCAAGGCCTTTCCTGGAATCTGATTCGATTTCAAGAAAACCTATTTTGAATAATAATGCCTTTGGGACTATTGGTAACCACAAACGGCTACATTAAAAACAAAATATTTCGTCGTTATCTTTAATCATTTTGTTTCGGTCGCCCAATCAGCGGAGTAATTAAGGCGTCACCAGAGGAGAAACAGGGAAACTGTTTTGCTAGATCAAATGATTTAGGTATTTACTGTTAAAATACGGTCTTATAAAAAATTTACAATACTCCTAAAGATATTCTCTAGAATGTGCTAATTTGTTACACGATAGGATGTACTTCACCCGATCATATAAAATCCTGGAAACAGACTAAAATAAAAATCTAAAGCGAATTATTTAAGAGTGTAACAAACCTACTTTATGTATTAGACTTTTCACTTTTAGTTCAATAAGGATCCGCTAGATGGCATTGACCCATTTGGCGTTATTTCTGAATCGCGGTGTTAAGAGTTTCCCTCGAATGGTGACTACTCGAAAACAATTTTGTTAATGTGGGTAGGAATCGGAGAATACCGAGAGCTCAGTTCGGCTAACCAAGAGTTCCCTTCTTGGGAACTGCTATCAGGTCCTTCTATTATTGATGCGCATATAGGGTGACAGTCATCATCTCGCGGAACGGTTTCCAGGAGTCGAGTCCCGTTTTGGGAACAACGGCCCGGACCTTCCGCATATAGGGTGCAATTGTATTGGCGCCATACAAGGTGAAAAATAAATATTTCTGGCTGGAGCTGCGTAACCTGAACGCAGGGAAGAGGGAGACTCCCTTCCTTTACAAGACTTAAATATTTAACTTTGAACATAATTTTTATATAGAGATTCTCTTTAAGTAGTCCAGAAAACCTGTTAAATTTTGGTTTTCAACTGAAGGCCTCCTTCGACGGTCCCCCACACTTCACCTCCTACAATGTAGGCTTGCATTAAAATATTTTGCCTTAAATAGTATTGCGAGTGAATTCCAGGAATGAGATGCACAGGATTTGATATTTCACGCTAAACCTAAGATTGAGTAAATTATTATTATATCGTACAAAGACGACCTTAAAAATATATAATATGTTGAATCCATTGCAGTCACTTCACGAAAAAGTCAACTTTCGGAAGTCAACAACCATTCTGATAATCTGTTTAAAATTTCAAAAAAAAACAGATTTTAGTTTAGTGATACATTGATTGTGTAACGTGCGACATATTCTGTATATTTCAATTGTTGACGTTCAGAAATGAGTTTCAAAAATGTACAAGTTTTGACTTCAGGTTGCTTTCAAGTTAGGCAGTTGTTTTATGTTAAAATAACGTGTATGAAATTATTAATGAGAATGGAGGAAGTTTTTGCCAGAATCGTGGTGAAGATGGAAGATCTCTCCTACCTCCTCGCTAGCTAATTTTCTTTACAACCAGCTCAAAACCAGTTTAAAATGGCAAGCAAATTAAAAAAAAAACTTTGACAATCACTGACGAAACTTTTCAACGTTTTGTATCTTGTTATATGTGTAGATCAATATGTTGGTTGCTCACTGTCATTTTGACACTATACCCTTATGGTCCATTATCATTTACAAAGTGGAGAGGAAAACGCTAATATTTTGACTAGGCAGCATGAAGATGTTAAAATAACAAAATACTTTAATAATTGAGATTACTCAAATACATCTCGGTTTTGTTAGATAATGAACGCGATGTGACTAAAAAATCATCTATAGAAATACGAGGAACTCGTATACTCACCCTCGTCCATGGACAGTTCTTCCCAAATAGCGACTTTAGTTCCCGCAGGATCCTTAAGCGCCACATATGCCAACTCTCCGCGGACCAAACGTAAGTCGTGGTCTAATGCCAGGATCCAGAAAGTTACTGAAACAATAAGATCATATTTAATTATATTATAACACGTTATTCTACATAGGGCGCACTATAAGTTTCCGGAACTGGCCACTTACATAAACAATATTTAAAAAGTAATTACAACATTTGAAAATGGAACTCTTTGGCTGTAGAATACAGTTTGTTTCATCTGACTGTCACTTGTTTTTACATTGTGGCGTCATTTTAGAAATTGGTTGTCTACATCACCATGGGTTTAACTCGTGAAAATTTTCGTAGTATGATTTTCTACGACTTTAAGTGTAATTGAACAGGTCGGCTGAGCTTCGCTCGGCTTCAAACTGCTTTTGGCGATGAAACACCATGCAGGACGACTATTTATAGCTGGTTTGCAGAATTCAAACGCGGTCGTGTGAATCTCACTGACAAATTTCGTGATGGTCACCCGTCCACTGCTGTGAACAACAAAAACATCGATGCTGTGCGCCGTATCATCGAAACAGACAGGTGTGTGACGTACCATGAGATTCGAGCATCTTTAGGCATAGACATGAATTAAATACAATCCATACTATACAAACATTTGGGTGTGAAAAAGCTGTGGTCTCGGTTGATCCCACACAATTTGACTGAAGATCAAAAAACGGATCGCGTCGCTTGGTGCAATGCCATGCTTACCAAATTCAACGAAGGGGCGTCAAATTTGGTATGGGGCATAGTAACAGGTGGCAAAACATGGATTTATAGTTGCGATCCCAAAACAAAGCAGCAATCGAGCGTATGGGTCTTTCGACATGAGCCGAAACCAACCAAAGTGGCACGCGTGCAAAGTGCCTCTAAGCGGATGATTGCTTCTTTTTTTAATAAAACTGGACACGTGACTACTGTTGCTTTGGAGAATCGTTGTACCGTGGACAGTGATTGGTACACGACCATTTGTTTGCCGGAAGTTATTAACAAACTCCGTAAAAATAACCGTAAACGCCGTATCATCTTGCACCACGATAATACCAGTTCTCACACGGTCAGACAGACAAATTAATTTTTGAAGGTGAACAACGTTGACCTTATGAGTTATTCCGCGTTCAGACCTGGCACCTTGTGACTTTTATTTATTTCCAAAAATTAAGAACCAGTTACGCAGTCAACGATTTTCGTCACCTGAAGAGGCTGTCGAAGAGTATGAAAAATATGTTTCAGAGATTGTCACGGAGAAGTGCTATACATGTTTTCAAAATTGGTTCATTCGTATGAAATAGTGCATTAACGCTAACGGAGAATATTTTGAGAAAAACAATACATTCATTTCTGACCCTTTGTAGTGCTTTTTCTTATTCATTCCGGAAACTTATCGTGCCCCCGACGGATAACCTAAATGAGAGAATAATATGCGCGATATTGTAATAATAATTTTAATTGATGAAATTAGATTCCCACCCTGTCCAAAATTCTGATAGCGGTTCACATTTGTTTACATTGCAGCATAATAAAGTTATGCAAATGTTTTTTCAATAAAATACTACATGTCCCCATGCACCCCGCAACTACGATGCCATACATTCGAAAAAATTGTCCAAGTTGATATTTTGGAAAAATTTCCAATTAATACAGTACAGACTGTATGTGTACACACACATGTAAAACTCAAGTAACCAAGTTTTTGATGAATCAAAATACTATTTAATTTATTGCTATTCAATTAGGAAAAAATCGCTATTGTAATGTATTCAACGACATGTCCATCGATCCTTCGGAATCGAGACGTTTAGAATCAGCAAGACGATGCACTGACAATGTGCTGCATCTTCTTGCTGACTATTTCGAGATATTGCAAAGCTCTACAACCCAAAATTACTTTGACAGACACAGTTGTAATTTTGTATGTCTACGAGTATAAGGTTATATAACGAAATAATGAAATCAGAATACCGTTACTTTTAACACTGATAAAAACATGGCAATATAACCCTATTATCCGAAATTTAGTATTTCTAGTTAATTGTAGAAACTTTAAATTTGGAGCGAAGTCATATACATATAAAAAAATGATCAGTAAAACAGTTATAGTCAGTCGAATTTAGGCGAAATTGTTGAAAGTCTGATATACTGTCAACCACAATTAATGCAGCAATAATTTTAAAAGATGAATTTAACGACTCGATGGGTTAAATTAAGAAATGTGATCATTTCCATTAAGTTCCACTTCATATTAATCAGAGTGTATGAGGTAACCGCTAGACAGCATGAGTGTGGTTCATAAACAAAAAAAATTTATGGACCCCGGTTATATTCATCCGAGACCGAAAACATTTCGATGTGGTGAATCCAAGATGGCCGCTGCTACCAAACATAGACGAGTGATTTCTTCAGACGAGTGGTTATGCGATCAATGGTGCTGACACATTTCGTAACGAATTTTCTCGTACCTTGCTAAAAATTAATAATCAGAGATAACGTAACTTTACGAAAATATTGATATCGCATCACAAGATCCCTCAGTGAGATCACACCTCGCCAAAAAGATTTGTAACATCTGAACGCGGGGTCAGTTTAAAGTAGAAACGTAACCCGAATGAGCACAAATGCGAGTATCGTATGATCCCGGGACTGATTACTTGTAAAACTCTTGCTGAGATATTCCTTGGCAGTGTGGAAGGTCCCTTATATATTTTTTTGCAATTTGGGAATTAAGTATTTAAAACATTTATGATATTGTTTCTATTTTAAAGGAATTTAAAAATGTCGTTCTTAAATTAAAATGTTAATTTTTGACATCTTTTTTTATTTAAAGATTTATATACCCAAATTTGATAATCAGAACGTTCTAGATCAGAAGCAATGATTCACCCAGATACGCAATTGCGTTAGGTATTTAATAATATTATCTCTCTTTGTCGCATTGTGAGCGTGGGTACGCGAGCGAGACATGAAACGTTTGGAATAATTGTAGGGCGTTTTAAAACTTTTTATATAAGGAAATACATTATGTTTCTTGTGGCAATGGTTTACATAGATTTTTTTTTATAGTCTTAGAAATTTTAGGCATGAAGTTTTTAGTCGTAAATTACGAGTTTATAAGCCCATCTAATTTTGTGATTTATATCAAATTCTTGTTACATGATGTCATTTAACAAGAATTTGATATAAATGCGTGTCATGGCACGGCCACGTAACCCAGCCAACACATTTACAAATAATGGAAATTACTGCCTATCTTAGATCTAGAGATATCTTATATCTTATGTATAATAGCGGTTTAAGCATCTGGAGAGCAATTTTTGTTGCATAACGGCTTCTACATGTAGTCGTAGGCTACAAAAGTATCTTTGATTTTGACCACTTAAGTTTTTAATACGGCGTTTTGTCAATAAAAATGGCGTTTGGGTTTATTTTCTAAGAAATTTCTAAGTTTTTTAGGAGCAGTTAGTACGATTATCAGTAGCAATGGTTTGACATCATCAAAATCTTCATCTTCTGTTTCCGCCTCCTCTACAGGCCATTCTGATTCTTTGTAACTCATGTTGTGTCTACAACAAACAGTAAAATAATGAATAATTTAATACATATTACATAAAATAATGTAGTTTAGTAAGTAATACAGTACAAATAACATGAAATACTCACCCAGGTTTCAGTTTCATTGCATGCATTTTTCTGGCACACGACCGGTCGCGCGCGGAATCTGAGATCGCAAACACAAATAAAGACACATGTGCGCTTGTGACGAACATCACAGGGCTACTAAGGGGAAGTACCTCACCCCCTCGAGGATATCACGGTCGCGCAACCGTTTATTGTTTATAGTTTTTGTAAAATGACTAAAATAAGGTAGCTTCGGTCTCTGAGACCGCGCGCGACCGCTGGAAGGTTAAATAATAATACTCTAAAATACTTCTCGGAAGTAAGTGTTTCGTTTCCCTCAGCCTTCGGAAGAATATTTGGATGCATCCCGATTAGAACGGCATGACCCTGTGTTTAGTTTAACAATCGGGTAACTTCCCTTTCAGCACGGAAAGATGTCATGAAATTAGTCTTGTCCTAATCTTAAATTCGGAAATAAGCCTTTATCGTCTGCATAATGGCGCACGTTCTCCCATAATCTGGGTCAATTTGGCATTTTCCCGGCTTCACTCCATGGGTCTTCATAAACCAATTTATACCTACGTCTCATTGCTAAACACGGCTCTCCTCTCAGTTGAGGGCTTAGGCCGTAGTCCACTAAGCTCACTTTATGCGGGTTGGGGATATCACGCGTTTTCTGAGGGTCGATGACCCTTGTACGTCGAAGGTTTTCACGATGTTTTCCTTAGCTCATGATGAACTTAAAATTAAATAGAGGTGATCCTCAGAGGTACACGCACTGAACCGAACCCGCAGTTTCTGCTTGAGAGAGGTAGGTCAAAGCATTGACTGTCAATATGAACTATTGTAACATTTTTTTCATAGGACGAACAAGTCGTGCGCCTGACGGTAAGCGACTCGCCTACGTATAACAGTTGCAATGCCACTCAGAGTTTTAAATCGCAAAGATCTGAGGGTCACTGCCATTGCGCCCGTCACCCTGAGACCTAAGTTGACAAGTCCCATGTGCCTGTAATTTCACCAGCACCTTTATCCTTCAAAACCGGAACGCAATTACTACACATTACTGCTTGTCGGCAGAGAGAGGTAAGGTGGCAGTAGTTCCCTGGATGAACCCTTTCACAAGAAGCTATACTGCTACTAACATGGTGCATCTATTGACTAAATCTAAAATAGTATTCTAATTGTAATTTTATTCTATTAATATTTATTTTTAATTTCGATTTTGATCTTTTATGATATTTATTTTTGAATTTAATTGTATTAAATCTTTTTAATGTATGATCCATGTTGGTCGAAATAAATGATTTTTTATATTATTTATTATTATATTAGGATATCACGGCTTCTGTCGGTAGTTACCGCGTGGCAATATAAAACAGTGCTCGGTGCGTTGTTTTAATTCGCTATCTACCAAGAACAGATATCTGCATAAGATGGCGCCAAGT